ATGTGTTTTATTCTTCCTCTCCAGCAATGTGCTGACTCCTATCCATTGCTTGTGCATGTACTAAAGAGCTATGGTTTTGTTTTGTCGTGTTTGCTGCAGCCACAATGCATGGAACCCACTAAAAAGATAAACACTAAATTATTTTACCAAAAAAACAGAGTTTATTGATATATGTACATATTTTTTATATTGCCAATTATTTCCCCTTTGAATTTTTGATAGAACAAGTTTAATACCTCTTTTATATGTCAGAGGGAAGCTATCCCTTAGGAAGAATAGACCTAGAAAAAGAAAGCGTGAAAGGCTTTACACAGCTATATATTTAAAACAAAACTACACAGGAAGTGAAACAAAGAAGTGTTGTAATATAAATAGATGAACATTTGAGTACTTTTGGAATGATCTCTTGTAATAACTAAGTATTTACATCAAAATGTACAGCTCATTCTTTATGACTAAGGTAGAAACTTCTAAAGCATATTGGTGAGTGCAGATTCACCTATCTTCTTGAAATAGAACATTATAAATATATACATATAGCTTATATACACATAATTTGACTCATGATCTCAAAACTAATCATTTATACATCTCACATTAAAAAAAATCCTCCAAATTGTAATTATAAATCAAACCTCTAATTGGGAATCTACCACTGGCCAAATACAACACAGCCTTAAGAAGCATCAAGCTCTGCCGTTGCGAGATGCCTTTTCCGCAAGTTGAGAATGCTGTTGAGACACTCCTCCTCTTGCTTTTCAAGGTCTTTCCTTCCGATCGTATATACTGGAATGGGATGATGTGAATTTAGATGGAGGGGCAAAGGAAAGGAGGAATAGAACAAGAGGAAGAGGAAAAAAGAGAGGAGAAAAAAAAAGGAAAAAAAAAAAAAAAAAAAAAAAAAAAAAAAAAAAAAAACTGAAAAGAAAAAATGAGTGTGAGGAGGAAGAGCAATAAAAAGGAGAGGGATGGGGTGAGGGTGAGGGAGGAGGTTGAGAGAGAAAGAGAATGTCATCTTACAAAATCAAGTTAAATCAGGAACATAACGCAAAGCAGTAAAAAGCAGAAATAGTCTCACCCATTTCCTCTTTTCAGCCAGACGAGATGTATCCTCTGTAGCTTTACTCTGCTTATGCTTCAGGGCCTCTGTCCGCAGGCTTAAATTGCGCAGTTTCCTCTCTACATTGCCCCTCTGGAATATCAGAATACCAGCTGGTTTGAGAATGGTGACAGTATGACAGAACAAGAAGAAATGAAATGAAGGAAATCTGGTATTTGTCTACTAGAAATTCTGCATAATCACAAATGTTCATTAGCAGTTCACTTGGCAGATGTAACTTTAATAATATGTCAATCAATCCTTAAACAATAAGAATACACACTTTATGCTACAGTCCCAATGAAAACATGTTCATCCATGTTTGAGATCACCCTTGACCAGCCTACCTCAACTCTCCACACGAATTGGCCTCACTGCTAACTTCGACTTAATCCGTTTTTTAAATTCATTAATTCTGACATGATCTTATCTATTCCAAATTTAATTTCACCTATTCTAAACAAGTCTTTTCTATTCTAAATCAAATTTCATCTATTATTACCCTAGGTCAAAGCTGCTTCTTACCCAATCTCATCTATTCTAAAACTAAACTCGTCTATTCTAACCTATCTCCCTTATTCTAACCCAGTCTTGTCCATTCTAAACTCGTCTCTTTTTCTACCCAGGGTCACACTTGATCTCAACTAAATCTAATCTTAACCCAATCTGAACCCAGCCAAGTTTGATATACCCTTAACCTAATCTAATCAAACTGCATCTACCCAAGCCTCATTTAATTTGAAATAATCTTTTCTAATCCGGCCAAACCCTTACTGAACTTAATCTAGACTAAGCCTAGCCTGACTTGTAAATAATGAAAATCAAATCTGTCTTGGTTTAAAACCATGTCAAACTATATACACACACTCAAACTTAGACTTAGTCTAAACAAATTAAATCTCATACATTTACACCAAGATAGCTCATTTTATCGAATGTAATATAATCTAAGCTTGAAAAAGCACCACAATAATAGCAACAGTAATCATAATAATAAACTATGATATAATAATTATAATTGCTATAAAAAGTAATATTGAAGATATAATAATAATCATAAAATATGATAATGATAATATTGATAATGATAATACTTATAAATAATTAATTATAAAAATAAAGATAAAAATAATAATAATGATTATTATTGTTAAAATAATGGAAAAAAAAAAAAATTGTTATGATAATGATAGTAAACACGGCAGGTTATGCCATGGTGACATCAACGAGTTAATTTCCTAACCTCTTCTTCGCGAGCATCCCTTGGCCCAATGTTGAAGATGGGCAGGCCTCCTTTGGGCATTGGCTTCAGCTCTCCAAAGAGTTCCTTGGGAAGGGTCTCAGCACTGGTGTTTTGGTATATGAAGTATGCTTTGTCTATGATATGCTTGACTGAATCCAGCTTCTTGACTGTAATAGGTCTGTGAAAGGATGCAAGTAAAAAAGATAATAATATGCTATTATCTTTTATAAGACAGATTATAGATAAGCATATACTTCAGTCATATTTCATAATTATTAGATTATGTTATTATAAGCAACAATACTCAGTTTTAAGAGGCCATTAGCACATGGGCATACCTTCACGTCCTGGGCATCTTCACAGGTCAAGAGGGTGTGGCGTGACTTGATTGTAAATGCAGCAGCGGCACAGGGCAGGAATGAAGGCGGGTTGGAGAAGATGTGGTCCCACAGTACTACCCAGTCTTCGTTGGAAAGAACCTAATTTTTGTGTGAGGTTTTGGATGGTTGAAAGTTGTTCTAGTTAAGTGAGAATTGGTTGGGTATGACTATTCTTTTTTATTGTATATATTATCAAGTATATATTAATCAAGGAGGGGGGGGAGGAGGGAGGGAGGGAGGGAGGGAGGGAGGGAGGGAGGAGGAGGGAGAGGAGGGAGAGGGAGTGAGGAGGGAGGGAGGGAGGGAGGGAGGGAGGAGGAGAGAGAGAGAGAGAGAGAGAGAAGAGAGAGAGAGAGAGAGAGGAGAGAGAGGAGAGAGACAGAGGAGAGAGAGAGAGAGAGGAGAGAGAGAGAGAAGGGGGGGGGGAGGAGGAAAAAGACATACCCTGGAGAAGGCATTTGTAAGTAATGACCAGGCATAATCTTCAGCTGTGACTTGAAGTTTCATTAAGTGTGCAAGCAAGACTGGTCATTCTCGCAGATCAGTCGTTCAATCACAGTTAGGACGGTGACACTAGGTTTAGGCCAGAATTCAAACCATAAACGACACCAGTTCACTGCACAGTAAAAGGAAATCAGGCTCGATTAGGGTAGGGTTTACAGAAGGAAGCAATATTTCTTTGCATTTACAATATATGACTTTTCATCATCGCACAAATGAAAAACAATTAGAAACATAAAAAAAAAAAAAAAAAAAAAAAAAAATCAACTTGATGACAATGTACTGCTCAGTATTAGTATTAATGGCCAATATAATAATCATAGTGACAGGCATGTTGAAACAACAACCATGACAACAAAATAAAATGCATTCCCCCACACACACAGAAACTTACTGATGAATGTCACAGCAACCTCAAAACACAGCAGCCGGTTGCTGTGGAAGAAACTTAACGAAGGGGAAGATGAGCTCTGGCAGGTACTCTATACTCGACAGGAAAGGAGCCCAGTGCGCCAAGCAAGAGAGTGTGCTGTTGGGAAAGATTCATAATAATTTTCTTTTCTCATTCCTAAAAATCCTTTTCTTTTCTCTTCCCTTTGTTTTATTCAATAGGGAGACAAATCTGGATAATGAGGTGAAGGACAGGAAAGCATAATAAATGAAAAGAGTTCAGGTTTATTAGAAATATTTTCTTACTTCCCTCTCTTATAATGAGCCATTAGCTATCCTTACTTTCTTTACCAATAAAGAGACACAACTTTAAACTCACAGGCTGAGGTACAGACATAGAATGAGACAGAGAAAGAGAGAAACAGTGAAAGACGGAGAAGGACAGAGAGCGAAGAAGTAGAAAGAAAGAAAGAAAGAAGAAAAGAGAAGAAAGAAAGAAAAGAAAGAAAGAAAGAAAGAAAGAAAGAAAGAAAAGAAAGAAAGAAAGAAAAGAAAGAAAAAAAAAAAGGGATAACTGATGAACTTAAACTGAGAGACAAACGAAAAGTATTTCTTAGTCACCCCTGGAGAGTTTTGAGTAACGATCCATCTGACAACTTGAGCACCTCCTTTAACCCTTCGAAGGCTGAGTGCATCCCCTTGTCGAAGCAGTGTGCTGAACACAAGGTAGTTGCGTGGTAACTCTAGCATGGATACCCAGATTAGGCTTCGGTACTTTTCAGGGTATGACTTGAATTCCACAAGGATAGGATACCATTTGTTCCTGTCTAGTAGTTCCTGTGGCGGTTCAAACAAATTGAAAGGAATTTATGCATATTACAGGATACAAATATTTGCATCTTAAGTTACAGGTATAAAGCAGTTACAAAATATATACATATACCATGGGACAAAGAAGAAGAAAAAAAGAAAAAGAGAGGAAGAAAAACAAACAAACATAAAAGTAAAAAGGAATAGGAAAAAATTCAAGATTAATTTCTAAAAAAGAAAAGAAAAAAAAAGAAAAGAAAAAGAAGTAATGACGAAGAAAAAATATACATTGTTTCAACAAAACCTTTAACTCCTTGTGTTTTTCCCGTTTCCTCTTATCTTTCTCTCCTTCTTCCTCCTTCCTCTCAGGGACTTCCATCTTTTCAATGATCTTGAACTCAACGTCCCTCTTCTTTATGTTGCGGAGTTCAACATTCTTAGGGTCCTCGGGGAATAGGGCGTTGACTGGGTAGACCTTCGTGATGCTGTTGGCATATGACACTGCCAAGAAGTTGCCATCTTCACTCACACTAACTGAATCTTGTGGAAAGAGAGGGACAATTTACTTATTTTTTCATTATCAACATCTTTCTTAGAGGGGGGGGGGCCTCAAAAGGAAGGCAAGAGAGACAGAGAAAGGTGAAGAAGGAGGAAGGGATGAAGAAAGGGAAAGGAGAGGAAAAATGAAGTAATAGAGACATGACTGATACTGCCATATTATGCTTTCACATTGAGTATGTGAGTGTGAGTGAGTGTGTGGGTGGGTGGGTGAGTGAGTGAGTGTGTAGGTGTGGGTGTGTGAGTGTGTGGGTGAGTGAGTGAGTGAGTAAGTGTGTGAGTGTGTGGGTGAGTGAGTGAGTGAGTGAATGTGTGGGTGAGTGAGTGAGTGAGTGAGTGAGTGAGTGAGTGAGTGAGTGAGTGAGTGTGTGGTGAGTGAGTGAGTGTGTGGGTGTTTATGTGCATGGATGCATGTGAACCATGATAATATTCATATTCTATAGTTTAAGATAGTCAACAAGTTTATAGTTTACCCTTTGTGAATAACATAAATATAATAACTTTCTCCATACTTTACAAACAGTTTACATAAATCAAAACTAATTTCTAACTTCCAGTAATTCACATTTGTATGATAATCACTCTCAATATAAAGGTAAAAAGCCAAAGTTCCCTTACCAATGTTGAACCTCTGAGATCGAACTGTCTTGATCTTTGTCATGCTTGTGAAGTCAATGATGTTAAGTACTCCTGTTGTGTTTAAAACGGCCAACACCTGCAATAATAATAACAGTAAACAATTAATTCTTTTCTTTTCCCAGTAAGCTAAACATTGTAATAGCAATTAAAATATACAATCACCCACAAACACCCATACCCATACCCACTCTTATGTGCATATGCACATGCACATTCACACTCACATGCATACCCACACATGTGCACATGCACGCACTTACGCATGCACACACACATTCTTGTATGTGGATGAAGAAATTATAGCAATCATGTGACCTAGTCAAGAGTATGGTGCAGTGGTATGGAATCCACATTTAAAAAAAGATGTAGATAAACTGGAAAGAGTTCAAAGAGCAGCTACTTGATGGGTACCTACTATAAGAGGTATGAGCTACAAAGATAGACTACAGAAACTAGGACTTACTACTTTGGAAGAAAGAAGGAAAAGAGGAGGACATGATTATGCTGTTTAACCGTATTACAGGAATAATTAAATTAAACAAAGATGGCTTTATAATTTTGAACACAAGAAGGACGAGAGGATACAGTAAAAAGTTGAAAGTAAAAAGAGGCAATAAGGATATCAGGAAATTTAGTTTGCCAAACAAAACTATTGAAGCATGGAACAGTCTTCAAAAAAACATTGTGTGTGCCAAAAATGTGCATCAATTTAAAGTTATATGAAAATTTAAATATTGCAGATGGACCCTCTAAGCTCAGCTCTTCTCCTGAATTGAAACCTCTAGGTAAGAACATAAAACAAACACAAAAACACACACACACACACACACACATTCCACAGATAATCTCAACACAATTCCTCCTCCGTCCCAGCCTTTCCCAAGAAACCTCAGTTCCCACACTAAACACCACGAAAAACCTCCACAACTCCTGAAGCAAACGAAATGGCACCTCACTTGACAAAACCTGGGATGCACAGGTGGCAGGAAGATGACCTGGTAGACGCTGTTGCACGAGGAGGGCAGCTGGACAACCTGTGAAACCGACGGCCCACCAGGGAGTAGGTCACCATCAGGTGGCTCTTCCCTCCTCCTACGATCCACTCCCTCCACTGTATGAGTGGAATAAAAAAAGGTTGATAAAGGATACGTTTAGTCTGTTGTCTTTGTCAGCACAAACAATATAGATAAATGTTTTGTCCATTGCTTATATAGCCATAGTTATGTACAGGGTGAACCAAAAGATCATTTGTACAAGCATTTGCTTTTACAGATCAAGAGGTGTGATGAATACTACTAGACTGCAAAGTATGCAAATGTAACATCATCACATTATCATGTGTATTTTCTTCTTTGTTATGGGGTAAAAATATATCTACATGTTTTCACTTTATGCAACTACTACCTTGCTAAATCCTGCTTAAAGGCTTACTCTGAACATGCTTGCATAATTTTGTTAGTGTAAGCAGAAATATATAAACACATTAATGTATAAAGGGTCCATTCCTATATAAAAATATGATTTGCTTATTTTACATAAATTAAAATCATACACATGAATAAAAACAAACAAATTTATGACTAAGAATTTTGAAGGCTAGGCAACAGCTGTCTCTTTTTACAGTCAGGTATTTTTAAAAAGACAGAGAAGACAAAATGAAATGCAAAGAACAATATCATGCATTTAAAATGAGCATAAAAGAGAAATCTAGTATTATAAAATCAAAGCTCTAGTTCAAGTCACCTCAGCTACAAAGATGTACACAAAGGCAATAGGAGACCCTTCCTATATATATCAGTATCTTCTTTGTAAGTCTGTGGTGAAGAGGGACACATAAGATCTATTCTGGATCTAATCCAACTGCTGATAAATATTAGGATTCATATGACACAATAATAAATTAAAGAAACATCTAACTACGAAAAGGAAGCAGTTAGAAGAGATAAGAGATAAAAAGAGGATTATACCAATGAACTATATATACAAATAAGGCTGAACTATGGTTAATTCAACATGGAGATGGTAACCAGTTGATACCAGGAGTATACATATACATGTCACCTCAGCTACAACTGAGCTTAAAATGAGCTGAAGTTAATTAACATAACTAACTTTGTTTATAATAAGATAGCTCCAAAAGTGCTTATTTGTCACAAAATCAAATACTAGACCTACCTGATGCCAATGCCCCCTCCCCCATTTCTTTTTTTTTCATTATCAATAACATTGTAATAATCATAATGGTGATAATGTTAACATTAATAATGACTGCATTTTGAAAAATTCATGAAAATCCAAGAAAACAGTAGACAAGTGAGGTAGACCTAGTAAATTAATCCTCAGTGACTAAGCACGTCTGAAGCCATCTACGTATGAAAAATAATCAAAAGCAGAATCACGGAGGACAGTGCATGTACCTGGTGCGATGAATTAATATAATAAGACAGAAACTCAAATATCAAAAAAAGGCCTTACAAACCTTGGCTTACAGGTATTAATGAGTGACTGTGGGGAAAGACATATATACAGAAGTTGTAGGAATTTTGCCTAGGTCTAAGAAGAGGGAGAAATTACTTTCAGATTAAATCAAAGACTTTGCTTTCTGAACTCTGCAGCTTATACTCATTACACTACTGTAAGCAGAAAGTATTGCTCATAAATCCTTTATGTTTCCCTTAATATATACTATGTACACTGTCATTACATGAAAACATGAGCTAACAGCCATCATAATGTTGACCTGGAGGTAATGCAAATGTGTGTTGTATATAAATCCTGTATCATGTTCCAAATAAATTACATGGGCTGTGGAATTGTTTTTAGTATTAGCCAATATTTATTACAAAAACTACTATCTTACTTTCTAGAAAATCATTCTATTTTTATCTTTTTGTCCATTATTTTAACATAACAAGAAATATACTGTGGCATCCAAAGCATGTACAATCTCACTAACTATATGTACTAATAAAATGATTACTATGAAATGTTTGAAATTAACTGTCTGACACATTTAAAAAAAAAATTATTGTGACTATATATTTGAGAACGTTTAAAGTAAGAAAATAAATACTCTATGACATATAAAAATTAGACACTCAAAACAGTATGAAAAAAGTTAGTCCATTGATTCAGTTATAGAATAGTCATACCAATCTCAGACATATATAATAAACCTTCTATATAAATGGTAACAGAATGATCAATGATCTAGTCAGTTACAGAATAAGATCTAACAGTTGAACATCACAAAGACGTAACAACTACTCCTAGAAATATTAACATAATAATGCATCTCATTATTGACTGAATAAGTTACCTTGCAACTCAGAAAATCTTAATGACACACAAGATGTGAAAAAGGAAAGACAGAAAAAGGGATGACAGAGGGAAAAAATTAAAGAAGCAACCCCCCCAAAATATCCTGTATATACAAAAAAATCAAGATAAAAAATAAAAAATCAGAGACCACAATATAACGAAAATTAATACAACTATCCTCATTCAGCCAAAATATAGTTCTTTACCTTGAGAGTGTAAAGGCAGTGAAATCAAAATCAAGTCCACTTGGAGGTTCTATGGTTCTCTGTGTAGAGAGGTCTTGGCTGGGCCAGAGAAGCAGGCTGCCGTTAATAAAGCACACGACCAGTTCATCTCGCTGCCAAACATGTCCTGCCTATGTGGGAAATGGAATGAATGCATTGATAATGTTTTTTTTTTCCTGGTTTCTCTCTGTCATTATATGCTATCAATGTTGAGCATTCTACTTATAATTCACTTAAACAAATAGAATAAGTCAAATGTATCTTCACACTGAGAATACTAAATCACTGGTTTTATGAATCATACTAATTCTAGAGTACCCCAGTATTTGGCAGAACATTTTCCACAAACTTAACTTAAAACCAATGCATACGCACATTCATAAACAATCTCTCCCTCTCTTCCTCTCTGTCTTTGTCCTTCTCTACCTTGTCTCATCTGGTCTCTGTCTTGTCCCCTTCTCTCTTCTCTCTCCAACCACCTCTCTCTATCCAAGTCTGTCTCAAACTATGTTACCCTAAGTATCCTACCCAAACCACAGCCACCCTGTCTTCCAGCCTCAGTTTGTTGGTTAGGGTGAGGGATGGCCACGACCACAAGAAGACCTCGTCAGTATTGTAGCTTAGCACAAGTGGTGACCGTGACCCCGAATGGATTCCCTTTGCTGGTGATGTGTGTCCCTCCATGACCACGACACTGCCGTCATCTGTGTAAAGGAGTAAGAGGAAGAGAAGGGGGAAGGGGAGAAATGAGATGCGAAAGGGAGGAAGGATGGATGTGAGGAGGTTAGGGAGGGATAGAGATTTAATTATGAGATTTTAATGTAAATTTGCAGGT